CAGGGTATCCACTGTCCCTCCAGAGCCCAGGTCAACCCATCCCCAGTATGGGGGGGCCCCATCCCCTGCAGATCTCAGGTTCTTTCCCCCACATCCTGGGCCCCCCTGCCAGGTCCCACGTACTCCTCATCCAGCCTCTGCCTCCTGCACACAGGTCTCTTCCCCAACCTGATTCTGCTGGACCCAGCTGTGACTGCCCAGACCCTACGCTTGGCTCTGCCTCCCACCTGGACGTCCCAGTCTTCAACCCCAGTGACCTGGTACCCAGCCCAAGGCCCCCCCGAGCCCCCTGCCTCCTGGTTCCCAGCCCTGTGGCAATTCCTGGCTCGCCACGTGGAAGACCTAAGACCTCTGGAGGGGCTCCCTCTCATCCCTCTGTCCCCACTGGATGCCCCCAGCATCCGTCTGGCTCCGCTGATACCCGAGTCCAGTCTTATCTTCCAGGCATGGGAGGACCAGTGCCTGCCACCTGCTGTGGCCTCTGTCCTGGAGGCCCTGGGTTGCTCAGTGGTGCCGCCGGGCACGTGGCACCGCTCCCTGTCCCGCTATGTCCTGCCTCCATCTCCCCTCAATGCCCTGCAGGCCCTGGGCAGGCGGGGGGCTGCAACTGTGGCCTCCCACCTGGCCTCGCTGCCTGCTGCGGATGTGGTCACCCTCCGGCTGTACCTGGCAGACATCCCGTCCCTGACAATGAAGGACAGGGCCACACTGGCCACTCTGCCCCTCTTCTTCCCACTGCCCTGCTTGGCCACCCCGCAGCCCTTGGAGCTGGTACCGGCCGGTGCCACCCCAGCGCTGGAGCCAGAGTTGGAGCTGCCCAGAGACGTGGTGCTGCCAGAGGCCATGTTGCAGTGCCGGGATGAAGTTGACCGGCAGCTCCTGGGGAGGCTCCAGACGTCCTTCATCAGTGCAGCCAACACGGCGCTGAAGGCCGTCAGCGCCGTGTCCCAGGGCGCCTATGCAGGGCGGGCAGCCGAGACACAGGCTCTGATGCTCTGGGTGCTGCAGCATGGAAATGTCCTCTTTGCACAGAGCCCGTCGCTCCAGAAGGCCTGCAGCAGCCTGGCCTTCCTGCAGACCCCCAATGGTCCTGCATGCCCGCGAGACCTCTACGACCCCCGCGAGAGCATCTTACAGGCACTGCTGGGCCCTGAGCGCTTTCCTCCTGCTGCCTTCCACAGTCCGCCTGTCCTCCATGCCTTGAGAGCCCTGGGCTTGCGGCACGGTGAGGGGTGCCTGGCACCTTCGGACATCCTACAGGCTGCAGCAAGTGTGAGTCAAGGTGACGCAGCAGCTCTGGACAGGGCTCAGGCACTGATCAAGGTCTGCAACTGCCCCAAGGCACTGGCTGGCTTCAGCGCTGCAGATCTTAGGCAACTCCAGGCCCTGCCGTGGGTGCCTCGTTCCAAGTGCACTGGAAACCCTGGGCAGCCCTTCCTGCCCCCCAAGGAGCTGCGGTCCGCCCAGTACCAGCCCCTCGTGGGGCTTGCCATGCACCTGACTGCTGCCTTTGTGCCAGAGGCAGAGAAGCAGCTGGGGCTGAGCCAGACCCCACCGCCAGAGAGAGTGTGGGAGCAGCTGAGGCAGCTGGCAGCATGCAAGGACATGGGTGAGGTAGGTCCCGCGCTCCGGCCTGTCTACCAGCACATGCAGGAAAACTTGAGGACCTTTGGGACTGCCCCGGACGATGCTGTGGTGTGGACCGGGGCTGGGTTTGTCCTGCCATGTGATGCCGTGCTGGGCTATCCTGAGGGGCTGGAGCTGGGGATGCTGGTGCCCCTGGTGCCCCCTGACTTCCTACCTTACAGCTGCCTCTTCAGGGCTTGGGGGGTGGAGGCGAGGGTGAGTGAGGAGAGGGCAGTTGCAGCCCTGCGCTGCCTGGGGCAGGACATAGACACACGCAGCTCCAGAGCGGGCACTGCAGCAGAGTTGGAGGTGGCTGTAGCTGTCCTGGAGTGGCTTAAGAGGCAGGGGCACCAGGGTGAGGGCACAGTGCCGGTTCCTGTGAGGATCCTGGAAGGCTCAGGCTTTGCCCTCCGCCCGGCTGCCTCTACCGTGTACCTGGACATGGAGCTGGAGGCAGAGGAGGATGTTCAGGACGTGGTGCATGAGGCAGTGCCATCCAGCACAGCCATATTCCTTGGCACGGAGCTGCTCAGTACACGGGTGCTGGGGCTGGAGCCATTCATGGCCTGCGGCCCCTCAGAGCCCATCACATTACGGCTTCGCAACATCCTCCGGGAGTACGGTGAGGAGGGCGACCTCTTCACAGAGATGGTCCAGAATGCAGAGGATGCCGGAGCTACTGTGTGCTCCTTCCTCCTGGACCTCCGACGCTGCAGAAAGGCCACCTCTGGGCTGCTAGACCCCGGCATGGCTGCCTGCCATGGCCCAGCCCTCTGGGCCTACAACAATGCCCTGTTCACCGAGGATGATCTCCGTAACATCACACGGATTGGGGCTGCTACAAAGGAGGGCCAGGCAGACCGGATCGGCCGCTTTGGGCTGGGCTTCAGCTCTGTCTACCGTGTCACAGATGTGCCAGCAGTGCTGAGTGGGGAGACACTGCTCATCTTCGATCCCAATGGCACCCATCTGGGCAAGCGCATCCCCAGGGCCGACTGCCCTGGCATCCGCCTGGACTTCTCCAGCCGACCACGCATTCTCCGTGCCTTTACTGAGCAGTTCTGGCCCTACAATGGTATCTTTGGGTGCCGCCTGCCTGAGCCAACACCCTTTCCAGGGAGCCTTTTCCGCCTGCCTTTTCGCACTGAAGAAGAAGCTGTGAAATCACAGATTTGCTCAGAGGCCTTTGGTACAGAGCGCATCCAGTCCCTTGGCACCAACTTCCTCGGTTCTAACCGTCTCCTGCTGCTCTTCCTGCGGAGGGTGAGGGAGATGTCCCTGGAGATGCTGCCAGACATGGCCACGTCTGCAGAGGCTACCACACCTCT